CCCGGTACCAAACAACTCACGGACCGGCACCGGTCCGAGGCCCGGGGGTTGAGGACCGCTGCTCTATTGGACCGAGATCTGGTGACTGTGGAGGCCATTTGAGTCCAGTGAACTCATTGTGATGTTCAAGAAATCAGTTTGAGCTAATGTGAGCTCTACAACACAGCGTGTTGTCCTGGTGGAAGCAGAAGATGGGTACACTGTGCTCACAAAGGGATGGCCATGTCAGGTAGGCTGTAACGTTTAAGCAATGCTCATTTTGAGCTCAGGGGCCCAAAATGTGCCATGAAAATATGCCCTAGCAGCCAGAACTGCTGATACGAGGCAGGGTGGATCCCTGCTTTCATGCTGTTTATGCAAAATTCTGACTTTTCCATCTGAATGTTGAAAAAGAAATTGAGACTCAGACAGACCAGGCAATTTTTTTCCAATCCTCTGTTGTCCAACTTTGGTGGGCCTTGTTCATTTTATCTGACAGGACCACCCAGTGTTGTCTGCTGCAGCTGTAGAACTTCACTGGGTCATCTTGATCATCTCTACATGCCTAAATGCTTTGAGTTTCTACCACGAGATTGGCTTAATAGATACTTCCATTAAAGAAAGTTAAGCAGGCATAGGTCTGTGTATTTTCTATATAATACTTTTTTGGTCACTTTTACCACTTATCATTTGTTGTTATTTTTATTTAGTATGTCAACCTCACCTGAGAATTCTAATGTGCATAAAAACTGCTATAAAATTTCATTTTAGCTGCTTTGATTTTACAAACCTTCATTCAAACAGGAAACTTCTGTTTGGCTGCAGTAGATGAGCTTATCACTTCTCTTCAAACCACATCAAAATCTTCATCTGCTGCTGTATGAAGTCAAAGGACCAAAAGCGTTGGCCAACCCAGGAAGCGAGGCAGGCTCCGGTGCTCTCAGGTGTCCGCGGCATTGTGGCACAGTTAGTTGTTCTTTAATGAGCGGCCTCGCTCTGCGAGCCAGCTCTCGTGTTACAGGACAAGCCTCAGATGCAAGAGGGAAGGAGATACCTACGTGAGAGCCGTGCCACGTGTGCCTTATAAGAGACACCGTAGACCAGCGATCACACCATTAAAGTTTAAAGCACAGAGCTGGGAGTGATGCCAGAGAGACAGAGACGGCAGCTTTCGGTGTCTTTCCTGCTGTCCACACATTTAAATCCACACAGAGTCTGAGAACTGAAACAACAAGGACTGCAGATCTTTATAAAGATTTTAAAAGCAGGTTTATACTGGACCCTGTGGGCCATAAACACACATGCAAACACACACACACACACACACACACAGATGCTACATTTCTTTACATATGTGAACAAGCACAAGGATATCTTGGTAGACCAGATCAGATACGATACACTGCAGAGAAAAGTAAGCCAATGTGATCTGACCAGGTCCACGACACTTGGACAACACATGAAAAATTCACAGCACAGACACACAAACACACAGAAATTCAGGTGCAGTCATTCAGGGACAGGAAAAAAAGAATCGATCTGTTTTAGGACACAGTTTACTTGAATCTAACTCACTTCCCTTTAGCACACGATCATTTGACAAATACGGCTGCTATAGCCAAACGTTTACCTGAGACCTGATGACCCGGAGGCCTAATTGAGTGCGTCATACACCCATTCACTCACTCACAAAGTCTGTTGGATCGTTTGCTTCTTGCTAAATTCATTGTTTGTTATACTACAGCGAGGGGGGCAGATTTCCTCACCTCCTATTTACAAAACCTTTATCTTTATTTGCACCCTGATTAGACAGGAGCTCCTTCACGCACCAGAAAAAACCAAAGAAATGAAATAAAAGGACACATCCAAACGCAGAAGCAATGTCTTTACAAAATCCGATGCCCTCATCTCAAATGCAGCTTTAATACACCCGTCATCAACCACGCCCGTACTCCTCCATTAATAAGAAAACCCTGTGTAATCAAATATTTGCTTTAGCTTCGACACCTTCTGTGGTTTGAAAACACCCTTATCATACCGAGTCTCTCAGAAACCAAACATGACAAAGGGTCATTTATCACCGTTGCCATTCAGTAATCTAGACCAGGACCCAATCAGCCTACATTCAGCTAGCTTTATCAACTTACGCACTTTTCCACACGCAGCACACTGAAATGTGAAATATTTTTATGCCTGTGGGGCCATAATTTCACGCCCCCGACTGGATTACAGTCCTTTAATCTTACAAGCACTTAGCTGAGCCCTCCTTCTCTTACCTCCACAACAACAGTGGCAACAACGCCAGCCGCTTATTTAGGCTCTAGCAAACAGGATGCCGTCGAGGAGGAAGGAGATGAAGGCATGAATGATTTTAGTTGCAATATTTGAAATCGATGGTTGATTGGAGATCAACAGGGGGTAAAAAAAAAGGCAGATTTGGAGATGAATTTGATTTTTGATGGTGAGGAGGAGAGGGTGGAGTCCAGAATGACACATGGGCTGCTGACCTCGGGAAAATGATGAGACGTCAAAGAGGAGGTCCGGCACTTTCCAGAGCAGGAACAGTTTAGTTTTCTTGCTGTTCAGTTTGAGGAGCCTCAGAGAGACTGAAGGCTGACAGTCACTACCAAGGCTCTGCTTTGAATTTAAATACTGAGGAATTCCCTGTGAGGGTTACAGAGCTACAACATCCAGCATGCCAGCCCGAAGCAGCTGAGAAAACTAATCAGACCTCAGCTCGACAGCTGGATGTGCTGAGTGTTAAAATCAGGACAAACTTGCAGGTGAAAAATGAGGAGTGGTACCTCACTGATGTCACACACTTAGTCTCATGCTGGGTTTCATGTGCTGTGAATGTGATCCTGACCGGCCGACTTAAATGTCACATCGCAGCTTCTGGTTGCTGCTGGTCTTGAGGCAGCGTTGGCCTTGTTGGCAGCCTGAACATCAACACAAACAGCTCAGCGCTGTGGCCATTTTTAAAACCTCCTAATTCACATTCGAAATCCACTTTATGTACTGTGGAGTTTTTCAGAAGCTCTAATCTTTCTGTAGACAGGCCTACCTGTAATCACCACTCCTGAATCATTTAACATGATCGTTTCTTTGAGCACAGAGAGCCACTGTGAGGATATAATACCTGTGTCCCTGCCTCAAATAAAGGGGCGCTGTCAGCAACTGACCAATACTAACCCAATTTCTCTTCTTGTCACTGAAGTCCAGAGAAAAATATATTCACTTCCTCTCACCGCAAATCCTGTGACGCACACTAACCCGGGCACAAGGACCGAGGATGCATTAGGCCTCCCGTGAGTAATCCAATTTGCTTCGTGCTCATAAGAGCAAATTCCCACAAAACAGTTTAGGGAATTTGTAAAGTTTGTAACATAATCCTTTAATTTGTGATGTATATATATATCCTGTTTTCCAGGAACAAAGCCTCATTTTTAGAGGATGAGTGTGATGGAGATTAAAAAGCTGACAGAAATCGCACAAATAAAAGGCTTCAGTGCAGCTTCACCTGCTTCACCCACATGTCTGTGATGAAGCCATACCAGTGCAAACTAGCAGCATGTGACTGAAGCTGACCAACTTCACATTTTACATAACTGAGCCAGATGTTCCCATACACCGAATAAATCACTCATATGTAAGATATCACCTGAGAGCAAACCCCCCAACAAGGCTGTGGTGATGTAAACACACATTAACTGATGCTTCTGTTTGAGGGTAAACATATGTAGACATGCACCATAATTTTAAGTACACTTGCAGCTCCTCCTTATGCAAATAATTTGGTTGTAATCAGCCAGTGATGCAGAAAATCCTCCAAAAACCTGTGCTAGATATCATTTCTTGAAATAGAGGTGTGGTTTAGGAGGTGGGGCAGGTCGTGTGCTAATTAGGTAGGTTAGTGGTTTGATCCCTGGCTGCTACAGTGTGCATGGCAGAGTACCCTTGGGCAAGATACTGAACTCTGAGTTGCTCTTGATGCATTCACAGGGTGTGAATATTGGATAGAAAACACTTTGACTCTGTTTTTGTTGACCTGTCCAGTTTACCCTGCCTCTGGTAACCATGAATTGGACAAGGGGAAGAAAATGGATGGATGGATATTGGTCACTTCATGTGAGGGATTTTTTTTATGGGAGTAAAAACTTATACCTATATCAAACCAGAAATGTTATAACCAGGCAGTTTATTTTTTAAAGTTTCTGATTATTTGAGGTCTGATTTAAAAATGTGGAGGTCTACATGGAGACAAACAGGTGTTGGAGGACAAGAATAACTGAAATCATCATCCGCATTTGAATCTGACAAGAGGAGCACACTCACCATAGGTCTGCGGTTTTCCACCAGGTGGATGCCAACAATACCCAGAAATGCTCCGAAACTCAACTGCAGGGCACAGAAAGCAGAAACTGTGAGTATACACGTGAAGGGTCCGAGAGAGGAGCATAAATGTCTGTTTCATGACTGAGAGCACGTTAACTGAGTAAAGGTAACCGCCACTCACTATTATGCCCGGGTATAGTCCAACGACCGGCACGTTGTCGGTGCGAGTGGCCGAGATCAGACCTACGGTCAGCACCAGCAGACCCAGAGTGAGCAGAGAGATGGTCACCCACAGAGCAGTTCTCCTCCGACGATGGTACTGAGCTGCAGGGTGACAGAAAACCTCTTTTACATTCAAACACACTCAGGAAACATCTTTCACCCAACTCGCCTGATTGTGATGGTTTAGACTGCTGACTGTTGCAATCATGCAGCTGAAATGCCTCATGTTAATGTCAAGGCACCATCATTTGTCTCTTTATTATTGTAGGTTTACCATCATCTCATTTTTGAGATGTTTTTCTTTAGAAGGACATGCTCAGGAAATTTTTATTACACAGAAGGAAAACAATAAATGAACAGTAGAGTGAAAATTAAATGACAGTGCAGTAAAGCAGGATTTAAAAAAAGGAAAAGCATAAAACTATGTGAGTAAATGTATTTTTTCCTGAACTTGTCTCAGATAAAGTCCCTTTTATCTGAGAATTAAACTCTGCAGGAGTTATCCAACCTTTTCCTCAGATATTTAACTACACATAAACGCTTCCTGGACAAATAATCCTAGATGAATAAATAAGATTATATATATATATTTTAAATCTAAAAGATAAAATAATATAAAAACCTTTAAGATCAAATAAATTAAAAGGTAACATTTTCAGGTCTGTTGACTGAGAAAGTGACTGTAGGTGTACCTGTTGGATCCAGAGGTTCAGGCGCAGTTTGCCGACTTATCTGCGGGGTTTCGGGCTGCTGCATGTTCACTCTGCGAGGATGGATCTGCCCTGAAACGAAGAGACAGATCAGGAGGATGGAGGCGATTCTCGCAGTGTTTTATTTCTCGACTTTTCTGTCTCTTTAAAACCGACTCCTCATCCCCTTCGAGGCTGCAGGTTCGCGCAGGTTTCTTGTTGTAATCCACTCAGTGTCCAGATGTGGGGTCTGATCACAGCTGACTGCCTCTGAGCTCACGAGGGCTCAACTTTACTTGCAGCCTTAAAAGGAGAGCGACACACAGAGGGAGAGAGGCCAATCAGCTTCCTGTATTCACCTCGGTGATCAATTATTCAGTTATTGATCTTACATAGGTCGATATATATCTCCGATTTGATTTATGCTGAAAGTAATTACACGATCAAACTTTACGCACGATGTGATGCAACAGAGGGTTTGATGTATGTTTGCTGAGTGTTGATGTTTGCAGACGGATGGATCACACCTGGTCGGGATGCAGCGCACTTGCTGTAGATGTAAAAGAAATATAGGACTGCAGCGCCCTCCGTCGGCTAAGATTGGAATTAGCAACACACCTATGAGGTGAGGACACTTCGTGGGATGTTCTGGAAATTGTTGCCCATCCTGTTTGCCTGTCGGTTAAATATAAATAAGCTCATATGTAGGACATTAAAATTAGATTTTTCATGAAGGTAAATATGTTCAAAGACTCAAACATTTTTTTCCAGCTTATTAAATTCAGAGCCTATCCCAGCTGCCATATGGCGAGAGAGGCGGGCTTCACCCTGAACGGTCGCCAGTCTCTCGCAGGGCTAACACAGGGAGACAGACACCCATTCACTCTCAAGAGTCACTTTAGAGTCACCAGTTAACATAACTCCACTAACTGCGTGTCTTTGGACCGTGGGAGGAAGCTGAGGTACCACAAATCAGACCTTTATCACTGTGTACTCTTTTTCATGTTAGGATATAATGTGCAGGTATTCGTTTTTTCCATTTGGTGCTTAAACTGTAGTGTGTAAAATAGTGTAAAACTATAACACTATCAATTCTTTACAATTTAAAGTCTCCAAAAGTTGATACTGTTCATCTGGACGTCAGGATGAACAGAATCAATGTTTGGAGATTTTCTTACCTGGATGATTGAGCATGCATCAAGACAATTTAAAGTCTATTATTCCACAGTGAGAGTTGAAATCATGCAAGACATCTGTTGGCCTTCTCAGGAGTGGATGTACCAGCAAATTCACACCAAGGTCAGCACTTGTAGTTGTGTTGTGTTAAAGTTCATGACAGTATGGATTATTTGGAGAAAGTGTCTTCTCTCTAAAAGGAACATGACAGCACAGCTCAGGGTTGAATAAAAACCACAAAGAACAAACACTCCAGCTGTCAAGCACGGAGGTGGAGGGGTGATGATTTGGGCTCCTTGCTGTCACTGAATTAAACTCGGTAAGGACCGGATGAATATTTATTATTACCTGATGTCTTTGTCGCTGTGTGTATTAGTGGAGGAAAAAAACAACAACACAAAATCCTGATTTTAATGGCAAAGTATTTATTTAAATCCATAAATATCTCTACAGCTACGAGTAGACTGTTATTAAAGTGTGCAAAAATGTTAGAGCTGAAAAGTGGAAACACAGACGTAAACCTGCATACATGCTCTCACCTGTGCAGGTGTTTTTGATTAATTAAGTTGCATTTCAGAGAGTCTGAATGCTGGCAAAGAAAGCAGACAAACAAAAGCAGGATAATAAAATATGTACATTCTCTGTTTTTTGCGGTCCACGCGCACAAACAATGAATAAGCAATCGTTCCTGTAAAACTCAAAGAGAAGTCAAAATGACATTACAGCAACAAACTGAACACAAAGTGCAGATAATACTGTAAAAACCTGATTATGGCTCAGAGCAGTTCCACCAGTGCAACTTTATCATGACGAAATACACTTATGTCTAACCTGTACTGACCACCTGTACAAAAAGTGCTCAAAAAAGCAAAAAGTTCATGTCATTTGAAACCCTTTACGACACAGCGCAGGTGGAGGACTTGGGCGGCTGCTCCAGGATGGATTCCCGCCGCAGGTCGTTGGGTAAAGTGCCACCCGGACCCCAGACTGTGAGCTCGCCGTAGATGCCGGTCTCGATCATCTCCTCCTGCCAGGGGATGGGGATGTTCCCCGAGGCGAACTCGTCGAAAAAGTCCACGTCCTTGTCGTCCAGCTGCACGCCTTTAACCGTGGAGAAGGCTCCGACGTCGTCGACGTCCTTCGCGTAAACTGTTTTGGAGTCCGGCACGAAAGGGGGCGTAAGAATCCCTGTGCAGACACAACACACAGAGACGTGGGTTCTTATATCTTCCCTAGGGTGACACACTGTCCTTATTAAAAGCAAAAAACTGTTGCTTTGGCTCTGGCTGAATTTATTTCTGTGGCACATTTAAAAAGAGAAGATAAGAAGATGAAAAGCCACAGAATAAATGTGGGTTTGGATCATCTCTAATGTTGGGGAGGTCCTGAAGTCTGAGTGAGTGTTTCTACAGCTGGATTTTTATCAGCACTAAAACCGATCACACCAAGCTTTAAATGAAACCAGTCCCGCTCTTTAAACCTCATGCACAGCTGTGTGTTAGTGCAACCATGATGAAAGCCGACACTACAAACGGGAGACTTCAGTGGAACTTTGGGTTCCTTGCGTGTTTCTGTCTGACCTGCATTCAGTTTCCTCCAGTTAATCTCACTGAAGAAAGGGTGCGCCCTCAGCTCGTCGCACGAGTCGTTCTTGAAGCCGAGCCTCTTGTCGACCTCTTTGCACAGCAGACCCTCACAGATGGACCGGGCGTTCTCGCTAAACTTCTCCGGATAAGTTACCGGATCATTCAAAATCCGCTTCTTCACCACCTTATTCTCCACCTTTAACATTAAAACCAAAGCAGAAAAAAGAAGGTGAATGAAAACCTGATTGTCACGTTTGTTTAACACTCTAAAATCTGTATAATTGCACAGACAGCAAGATGCATGACAGAAAGAAACGAGAGGTTCTTGAGGAGAAAAGATCAGAAAGATCAAATAGTAAATTTACAAACTGCTTCAAAAAGAAAATGACACGAGATCGCACGTAGCACGTCTCAGTGCTTCTACCTTCTCTCCTCGGGTCCTGAAGGGCCCCTTAGCAGCCAGAAACTCGTACAGAGTGACTCCCAGAGTGAAATAATCCACAGAGTAGTCGTATTCCTCACCTTTCAGCAGCTCCGGAGCCATGAAACCTGCAGGTGACGGCAAAGAGGTCACGACCCTTCAGACAGAGTGTGGATGAAAACGACCAGGATGCAAAGTATCCTCCATTAGCAGGGAATACGCTTTTGCATTTCGAGGGATCTATTGATTCAAACCCAACAGGAAGTCTGCCATTTTTATTTGAAGATTCAATTTTTGTGCACATTTTGCCATTTCCAGATGTTACACTTTGGCGAACTCCTAGAGATGTTATCCGATCAACTTCATATTTGCTCAGTCTGAACTACAGATCTGGACCATATTGAAATGTGGAGCTTTTGAGTTTCTGTCAAAGGGTGTGGCCATGGCGCCATTGCAAAATGCAATCGCTCCTCATGTATTTTCATTTTGATCTCATTCACTCATACATTTTCCAGTCTGGACCAAACCACTCAGGTGTGATAAGGCTCCACCCCTAAACTCATTTCATTGCCAGCAACTGTAATTTGTCCAGGAAAGCCGTACACAGTGGGTCTTAGTTCACACTGAAAAATGTGAGTTTTTGGCAAAAGGTGTGACCCTGACGGCATGACGAATTTTGATGCTTCGCTATGAAGCACGAAATTGTTATAACTCAAAGAAATTTAGTCTCCTAAACTTCACAGGCATGATGAGAGTCCCACCCTGAACAGGTTTGAATAGTTAGAGTGGCACCTAGTGGGAGCAAGACATGTAGTTATTGAGACTTTGATGTATTGCTTCTCCCAGGTTTACCCCATCCACCTCAAAAGCGGTCAGAATAAACATCACACTTTGATGATACTTCAGTGTTAAAATTGTGGGTTTACGTTGAATGGCGCACCCTGGTGGCAGGGTGAATCACCGCAAAACAGGAAGTAGGTTTCATGTTTTATGGTCCTTTCCATTGACCATGGTAACAAGGCTCCACAGCGCCAGCTACAATTAAAACAAACAAACAAAAAAAACTAGCCCTCACACCATTCTTCATTTAGGAGTCTAAAATTTGGCAGCGCGATAAAAGACATCAAGATTTACAAAAAAATCTCTTGGAGCCATATCCTAAACCCAACAGGGAATCAGACATTTTGAATTTAATGTGTAATGTTAGCTAAAATTTTCACAGTTTTCAGGCCTCGTACTTTAGCGAACTCCTCCTCGGGATTTCAGGAGATCAACATGATCTCAGGTTGAAGTTAAAGACCTGGGTGGCATGTAATGGCGAAGCTTTTGAGATTTCGCAAAATGGTGTTGCCATGGCAGCATGGCAAATTTTGATAATTTCCCATAAAGCATAAAACTGCTGTAACTCAAAGATGCATCAGACAATCTCTACCAATGATGAGGAACAGAAAATTAAAAGAATATTTTTCATCGCCACCTAGTGGACAGAGGAGGTGTTTAGCATGTCTTGATGCGCCCAGTGTGAGTGCCCTCCCATTTCTGATTGCAGCTTTAATTTTGCATTGTTTTCATTATATGTTGATCAAAAGTCTCATACAAATAAACTTTCACTGCCTTTCTTGAACAAAAGTAGACTTCGCTATTATCATACTGTGTAAAACAAATGATCTCTGAGCGGTTTTACTTTATCTCACATGATAACGTTAATTTGATAACGCTGGAGCTCATGTATGTAAAGCTACAGCAAAGAGCTAAACACCTGAGGTAAAATCCTCAACTGTGAAATGTAAATGTAATAGTCTGTATTTCAATATATTACAAGGTAAATTTCACACATTACGTGCAGAAACACTGAGTTTAGTTGGGGGTTTTTTTCCATTTGAG